GTTTCAGGTATTCGCCTGCGTGGTGCACCATATTGAATACAATTTTCAAACTATTTAATCATAATTACATAATTAGATATTATTTATATATATATATATATATTTATTTATAATATAGTATACCATTTAATCAGACGTCGACAGAAGTACAGGTAAAATCTCGTTGTAATGAAATTTCATTATAAAGGACAACAAAATAACAATTTTATTGGAATTAAAAATCGAGTTTTTCGTTATTATATCAGACTGATAAAAGGTCCTGTTAACTAACTATAAAGATATCAGCAAAGGCTTAAGACATATTATATGTCTTAGGTATTCGCTGCTAAAGGCTGGAAAAAGAAACTAATTATCAATGGAGGTTGTTTGACCTTGTTTTCGCAACTTGGTCATATTGGTAGGAAGACTTAGAGGAACGCACCTAGTCCGGACGTTTGACCTTGTTTTCGCAACTCGGTCATATTGGTAGGAAGACTTAAAGGAACGCACCTAGTCCGGAGTCTTTTGACCTTGTTTTCGCAACATGGTCATATTGGTAGGAAGACTTAGAGGAACGCACCTAGTCCGGAGTCCCTTGTATGCATCATCATTTACAGAGTAGGACCGGGGACGTGGTACATTCCCACATGTTTCGCCGGCATCGACTGCGACCACACAAAAGGCCACACCATCTTGGTCTTCATACCTTCGATTAATTGTCAATGATTGAAGTTATTTTTCCCTGCCTAAAATGCCCCGTTTGTTGCCCACTTTCGCTTCTACTTCTCATAAGCACCTATGAAGGAAGTGACCCAGAAGTATGTGAGTATGAGCCAATATTTTTGCCTATGAACCAATGGTACAGGAAGACTAAGCAGCAAAGCATGTATACATTTTGTCAACAATAATTCTTTCCTTAATTACTAGCAAATATGTTTGGTTTTATCACAACGTTCACAAGACATGCTCCCTCGTTTTGGGTGATGATAGGCATCATCATAGCTGGAAATCATTCTTGTAAAAGTCACGAGCTAACACTATTGCAAGAAGGTAAACTACTGGAGAACAACAGAAATTTACCCTTGTCTTCCGGAGAGATCGACCAAAGAATCTCTTCTTCATGCACTTTCACACGAACTAAAACTTTACTTAAGAGATTTAACGAAACCCAGTTACTGTTTGTATCTGCATATTATACTTGAGGCTAAAGAAGGGATTTTCAATGCGTATTTGGTTACGGCTATTGAGAATATGATTGTTTCCTATAAACATAAAAGTCCCCTAATCATGTTGATGAGTTAAGCACTCTTTAAATTGAAGCACAGGCTCCGTGGATAGTTAAACGAGGCCAAGGACCTGTTGCTTGGTCATTAGAGTATTTGCATTTTAACCAGCCAATAGATGTTTTGAAAGCAACTGGGGATTCGGATAATACGAGCGGACAAGAATGTGAATTCGTAGTTTCAATCCAGTCAGGATGAGAAAGCGTTTTTGAAATAATTGAGGTAGTAAATTCCTGTCCATATATCGAGAATCCCTTTGAACTACTCTTCGGCAGATTTGCTATTGGTTAAATCAAACTTCAGGAAACCGGGAAAAAACGATACCAATCAAACTCGTGATAAGCGCGAAACAATCTGGTAATATAAAAATTATTAAAGCTTCTGATTTCATCAACAATATGTTTAGAACCAGACCATGACGCACCACGTTTAATTGCCATAATCTTCATCCAACACTAGTTCCATTCCCCCTAAATATTTCCTTCTTGGTGCACGTCTACTGTTGGTAGACACACAAGAGACTAAGGCATAGGAAGTCATAACCAGCATAGGGATTAACTGAATGATATTACAAGCCGCTCCGGCACAACCCGGGTTCGAGTCCCGCTGGTTGCGACTAGCTTTAAGGATAGCAAGTCAATGTAGCATTCAATAAAAATCTAAGGTCCACTCATGTCATTTATGGAAAATTCAACTACCAGTCTTTAATAATCTTAACGAAATTGGGTGAATACATTTAATATACATATGGTCTAATGGAAGTCTCGAAAACTTATTTATAAATAAGAACAAAGTGTCTCTACATCTCAAATTTGCTACTCGCTTCGGAAATATTTACTATCAGATTGACATAAGATATAATTACAAATTACTCTCAAATCTTGTATTCTTTCTGCTCATCTAGCTTCTATAAAATTATTGCTACGAAATGCATTATCTTTTATAGAAACTCCTTAATGTTACTTAATATTTCTTGAATATGTTTGCATGCGTTTTTTTGGTAAATGTATGTTTGCATCCATGCATACTTGTTTGCTTGCATGGGCACATACTTTTTTTCTCGCTTTAATACGCATATCCTAACGACCAAGATGGTGTGGTCTTTTGTGTGGTCGCAGTCTCCTTTCGTTCTATATAAGTTGTTGGACCTTGTTTCCGCAACTCGGTCATAATGGTAGGAAGACTTAGAGGAACACACCTAGTCCGGAGTCCATTGTATGCATGATCATTTCCAAAGTCGAACCGTGGACGTGGTAGATTCCCAAACGTTTCGCCGGCATCATAGTCGGCATCGTCAGTGAGTATCGCCATTCTTAGCACCATACAACAACTCGTCAAAGAAACAAGTGAAGCTCCTCCTTTGACCAAATGTGTGCTAAACATTTGTGGTATATCCCCTTCTGTCCTGGGTTATTTGCGCTTCCTGTATCATCATATCATACCTTCACTATTAA